CAATACGAAGATCGAAGAATATGAAGATCGAATATCTTGTTCATGGTCTCCAGAGCCACATGGAGACAGAGATAGAACGTAAAAAAACAAACAAGAAATTACTTTTAAATAATCATTTTCATGCGAATAGCCATGGCCAACACATCGCTTAAGGTGGCTGAACACAATTTTTGATACCTTTGTTTCTTTCACCATTTTCTCTAAAACCCTTGATCTCTCGGTCGCCAAAACTGGCAGCAAGCAAGTTAACAACACAAACGCGGTTGCTTTTTTGATAGTTAAGCTGATGTATGTGCCGTTGCCATGGCGACATGATGAATTTAAACAGGCAATTAAAATCGGTTTTGTCTCTTTGTAGAAAATCTAGTCATTAGAGATTCTTTATAATTTTCATGCAACGAGCTTGTAACGATACTCACAAGTTAACACTATTTTTCTGACAATTTAACAGAGATCTTTAATAATCCCTTGTTGAAGGTTCACTCGATTTTCTAGATTCTTCTTTGAAATAAATCAATTTTTTTCAATACTTCAGTTACTTATTTCCTAAAGTATTTTCGCGCCAAATTTCGTGAAATTCTAATGAGTGGTTCTCAAGAAATAGGCATATTTCCGAGAAAGCAATTTTCCATTCAATCGCAATTTTTGACTTACTACGCATGCGCTGCATTTACCTGGCTTCTTTCGGTAACGACGGAAAAGCTGAGAATTGCTGGGTTCTTTGCACCGTTAACTTTTCCTACATATTTTTGTTATAAAAGATTAAATCCTTCAATACACTGCGCCAACTATAGAGAAAAATAGAACAGATAGTGCGGGTACGTGTTGAGTAAATAAAGTGACCGCTGAATAAAATGACGGCATGTTTGTTTTTTGCAATGTGCGCGTGCTGAATTGCGTCAGCAAAAGCGCGACAAGGCCAGCCAACAGGGTTCTATACGTCTGGGATGGGATGAATTTTTTTCAGATGGGATCATTTTAGTTTTTTTGGGGATCAAGGATAAAAAATATCCAAAATTTTGGGATCATGGATCACAAAATATGAATGAAAATTGGAATCATTATGTAGTCCACATACCCCGTTACGACCCTGGATTCTCTTTCAAGGACTTTTCAGATTACGAAATCTCAGCCGATAGTCACTTGACAAGCCTTCTCGGCCACCATCTTACTTGTGAAATGTTCAGAAAGCTTTGTTAATTTCAAGAAGCAATACTATTTATCCCGATGGCCTTAACGCTCGCGAAGAAATGTATTAGTGTTTTTCCTTCTACTATTCTTACTTCTAGTTATTTAATTTATTCAATTTACCCCACTTTACTTCTATTTTTATTTACTATTTCTATTTTTAATTAGTATCACATTGTCAATCAAATTAGTTTACGTATTTCCGCTATTACATCATACAGCTATCTAAGTACCACCTTCATTCTATATCAATTCCCACTGCATCCGAAGAAGGCTTGTTTGGCCAGCCCATACTAACTATGGCCAGCTGAAATATAGTGCTCCGTTTTAAAACTTATCTACGTTGTATCGGTCTTGCCTCTATATTTATACCATCTTAATATCGTGTCACGCAAAAGTGTATAAATCCAACGAAAAACACTATCAAACAGAAAATTGTGAAATGATTATTCCACTAATATCTAACTTGACTAAAATCTCAAAAGGATTGATAATTACTTATTTTTTAATTTTGATGACATCACGTGAAAACCAACAACAGTCCATTTTACAGTTGCGTGCTTGGTTGCCAGGCCATTGTACAAGAGTGAGGCTAAGGGTGACCTTGTTGTGATATAAATGTTGCTGCTTTTCAAATGTAAATTACTTTGTTATCATGCTAACTAGATACAGGTCTCTAACAGAACAAAGTCACCTTAAGCCTCACTCCTAATCAAAGGCGTGACTACTAAGTACAGAACTGTAAAATGGCCTATCGCGATCGCTGTTTATAGTGATGGATGTATTTTTTTTTCGTATTCGTTACCAACTATTGATTTATTATTCTATTTGGTCAGCTGTTTATACCACACTAGGGGGGGATAGGTCTTTGTGAAGTAGGAATTCCCCCCCGGAACGCACCTAGCATTTGAATTTTTAAAGTTGAGATCCCGGTCCCCCGAAGCCAAAATTGTGTTCAAATGCACTACCCAAGTGCCGGACTCAGACAATAATAAATAATAATTTTTACTAATAATTGTTACTGCTAATCGCCGTCGCAAAGTACAGCAACGACGCAGCTCAACAAGGTCGAACCGAAAGCTTACAATGGCGCCTCTGGCAGCCGCTATAACGGTCCATGTGTGACCTTGGAGCACAGCTTACAGCCAGCTGGAATCAGCTGTATGTTGGTTTTTGGTGAGGGAGGAAAACCGGAGAACCCGGAGAAAAACCCTCGAAGCAGAGAAGAGAACCAACACAAACTCAACCCACTTATGCCGTCGGGTCCGGGAATTGAACCCGGGCCACATTGGTGGGAGGCGAGTGCTCTCACCACTACGCCTCCCTGCTTCCCCGGTGTTTGGAACCCCTGATGAAACTCGCACTCGTTTTTGATATATTACTTCAAGTCCCTGATAACTTCGACTCCGATGTTGGTGATCGAACTGTTTTGCTATGTAAGCCTAGAAAAAAAAGCTTCTTTTAGTGGCCGGTAAAAAGCAGACATAGTCTGTCTCGAATTATAACAGTATCATTTGCTTTGCAGATGTTAGACCTGCCATTTTCTTGGGTGTCACCTCTGGTTACAGGTTTACCCCCCCCCCCTTTCAAATGGGCCGTTCCCGTTACACTCGAGATCCAAACTAACGACAAACGCGTACGTGTGCTCGTGAACTCGAAGAAAGAGATTTAACCACGCACGTGCCTCGATGACCCCATTTGCTCTGTCAAAACTCCACACACATCATCACTTTTGTATCAATTTATTTCATAAATTCGTGCCTAAGACTAACACTACCGCGTTTCTCTTCAAAATCCCCAATTAAGTAGTTAAAGGTCTTTCCCTTTTTCCCTGATTCAATAAATAAACAATTACCTTTTAATCGTACAGTATATCCTTTTTCTCCAAAAGTATCTTAATTTAGTCTTGCCCAACTATCAGGGCTCTCTAATTGTTATACAAAACTTTATACTACAAATATATGGTATTGATGCATTTTCAATATTAAACTAAAGTCTAATACATTAATATAAGTATTTATAATTACCTTATGTTATGTTTGCTAGAATGAAGTCTAATAGTACTCTCCATATTTTTTCTAAAAGTAATATCAATTCTTTTTTCCTACAAAAGTGGCATTGTGAGGAGTTTTTCACGTAGGTCTTCAACAAAACAAAACGTCGTATAAGACAAATGCGAAAACGTCTTTGCTTAAAAAATAACACAAAACTAAATAAACTCAACGACACTTCTAAATCTGCACTTCAACCGTAATATTCTAACGTTAAAATGGTTGAATGCCTATTTGCCGATCAGAGTTCAAAACACACCACAATCCGCAAAAACCACGCATACTCATTAAGTTCAACTTTTAGTAAAAAAAAGTGAATAGTATGATTATTGTTATTTTTAAAATAAATTTCTCTGCATCAATAAAATTACACATAATTTTATGTTGGTGGAACGAAGTATTTAGCGAAGAGCGTCTTAAGCTAACAAACAGTTGTCTCATGATCATGAGAAACTTTTGGGCTTAAAAAAAAAAAAAACGAACGGGGAGTAACACATTCTTTTGCCTAAATCAACCGAAAAACAAACAAAAGAAACGAAACAAACAAACAAACAAACACACCGTTGAGCCATTTCTAAAAGTCCAAAGCAAAAAACAAAGCCCAAAGTTTCTGCTTCAAAACGAGGTGAGTAAGAACAAGCTTTTGATACGAGAATGATTGGCATTCTTGATCTCATGTAGAGAGTAAGGGTTCTTGGAGCTCAGGAATGGCTTATTAAAGACGTAACGTGAGGATAAAATTTAATTAACGATTGGTTTCCAGTTTATACCTTAAGTTATTCGTACTATGATTTGAATTCACCCGATTTTCACAATTGTTCCTCATTAATGAGACGATGAACAATATTTACACATAACCTTGACAAGGATCCCTATAAATACGCTGATTCGTTTGAAATTGTTTCTCT